TTGTTACATATTATTATTGTTTAATTCTTAATCTCAGTACAATTACATCGTAATTCGTAATAATTCGTAATAATTCGTAAACATAAATTCAGTTACTGTGCACTGTAAATAAACTCCCGAGAAATTGAAACATAAAACAAATGTTCAAATAAACAATCAACGTATGATTGTTCCGTAATCTCAATGCGTTTTTCCAATATGATTGACATTGTGCTATCATGCCTACAACAATATATTTTACTGAACATCGTTCTTCATTCGTTCAGTATCATAAACTTTACAGAAAATGTCGCAAATTCTTTTTCAAAAATTTGAAATAATTTTTGTGATGTTTTAAAAATTTCCGTCTTTTCCACGTTTAATTTTGACAAATAAATAATTAATTGAATTTAAACAAGAAAAATTTAATATGTCTTATTCGATAAATATACACAGTTAATTATGCTTGAAAATAAACCAGAGGCACAGTAATTGGCTAACCCACAGTGATTGACTCTGCTATCATATTTTATAAATACAATTGCACAAAAATAAATCTGTTGATATATAATATAGTGTAATATTTTGGTTTTGCTAGTATAGTATGATAACTATAAAAGTATAATATTTTGGTTTTGTTAGTTATAGTATGATAACTATGACAGTATAATATTTTGGTTTTATTAGTTATAGTATGATAACTATGAAATTATACCTTGTCACCCTTCTCTTCTCCGATATCTCGATGGTCCTCGTGGAGTTCCATGCCACCACCCTTCTCTTCTTGCCTGCTGCCACCTGTTTGAATTAATTACGAGTAAAAGCTCGTACCTCCCACCATGATTTCCAATGAAGTTCACATGTCTTCGAATATTACTGTCTCATTTTACATTGGCATTATACAATATTACAACGCTAACCTAAATTGAAAAATCTCACTCTTATCGAGAAAATTGTAGAGGACATTTCCAACTCAACCCTTTACACCCGAAGCCATTTTTCCGCGAAATCCAGAATAGTTTTTCTGACAAACAATGTTTCTTTTTCATATAACCTGATGTATTTTATGCATATGAAATTGAATATTATGACTCATGCAACTTTCAACCCTTAGCACTCGGATTATATTACCAGCAATAAGGGAGCAAATTCTGTAAAAATTGTGATTTTACTACACAAAATCGATATGAGATGAAAAGGATCGTACCGCTACGAAATTTCATTTATGCATTTCATAAAATAATTAATTTAATTTAAATTTTAAAAAATAATAATTAGAAAAAAATATCGCTTTGACATGAATATACAGTGTCGCCGTGTTCAACAACATTCGAATGTAATGGTTTAACAGTTTTTTAAATACATATAAATTTGATAACATACAAATTATTTTGGAACGCGATATAAAAATTTTCAGTGGCGCCTCAGAGTCATCTCTCGAGCGCAGCGAAACTGAAATTTCAATTTGCAAGTATATCCTCACCTAACTTTGAAAGCTAAGTTATTCATGTGACATGACTTAGAAACTATTTTTTAAAATTCTGTTTATACTTTCGAGTAACATAAACACTTTTCAGTTTCCACGTACAAAAACGACATAAATAAAAAATATAAAATCAAGAAAAAGCTTCCGTTCGCATTATCAATAATATATTTAAAAAATAGATCAGGCTATTCGAGCGAACAGCACCGTACCTGCATGCTCGCTAGCAGCGACCTCGCTGTCGTTCGTCAACCGGAAGTCACCCTGAATCCCCTCGACCCTCCCAGCAACCGCCAATTCATGGTGGAAAATCGTCGCCAAAAGAAACAAAGCAGCAAAACGTCTGATATGAACGAACGACGCCATATCGATGAAAATTCCGGAGCTCGTTAATCGCAGGAACTCGAAGAACGCTGGCAGAATAACCAACCGGAAGTTCGTAGAAGAAACGAATACCGATACTGAACATCGCATGGGATCGCGGCGGAGATTTATTGGACCCGTGGTTCTTTTTCTTTCCGCTCCGTGTCCGATGATCGCGTTTTTTCCTTTGTGCCAAAGAAAGTTTCCGCATCCGGCCGATCGGAAGACGAGCGGAAAAAGATGCTTCTTTACGTTACTGCTGTCACGGACACGGGCACTTTCACTGGATCCGCTCTCGCGACTCTCCGCTGGACCAATATTAATATTTACACGAGAAAACGCGACGTCCCCTTTCCACAGCCTCCAACTGTCCCTTTTTTATCGCTATCGAATACACTACGTAGCGTTCGGACCTTTCTTTGCTCACCGTCTCGAAACTGTTTTTGTTCCGCGCCATTTTTAAGAAATCTTCTTTACTCCAAGAACAATTAATATACCAAAGATTTTGATATTGGCATACGGCAATGAAAAAAATATGCTATCGTTTCTTTAAAATTTTAATAACTAAATGTACTTGCGTCTCATTTCGATTTTATACTGTTTGTTGTATGTCCACCTGTTACTTCCTTCTACAGTTTTTTCATTGATAGAGAGGGGAAGTTTAAATAATAAGAAAGACATGCGGAATGTGCTCGCAGCTTATTCTGATTTTACCTGATTTTTATTCTGATTTTTTTTATATGCCTTCTTATTAGTTACTTTCCTATTACTTGCGGAAATGATTTAATTTAGTAATTTAACTAAGTAGTTTTTTCTCATTGAATTTCTTCGTGTACTTGGAGTCCCTTTTTTACTTCTTTTATAAAGTCTTTTTAGGAGGATCTCAATTTCTTTGCTTCAAGAGCAATAGTGTCTCTAATTGTTTCGATCTCGAATAATCCTTTTATTTAGAATTGTAACAAAGCTGCTTAAAACAATTTGAGCAATATTTGAACAATTCAATTGAAGCCCTTCTCTTAAACCAAAAGCAATTGTGCCTTCAATTGCTTCTATCTTGAATAGTTATTTTATTTAATGATGTAACAAAGCTACTTAAAAAATTGAGCAGACCTTCCTGGCAATTTCTGCAACAGCGAGCATCTTGTTCATTTATATAGGGTTATTAATCGCCTTGAAAAGTGTCCTTTAAATTTTCAAAAACAATTACGCCTTCAATTATTTCGATCTCGAATAATTCTTTTATTTAGAATTGTAACAAAGCTGCTTAAAACCGAGCACAATTTCCTAACAATTTCACCATTACGTTAATTCGCATGGTATTTTTCGTTGTCTTGAAAATAAATAGCGATTTCATTCGAACAATTTATGATGTGTGACTAGTGGAGAGACGAAAGTTTCAAACGATCGGGGGATATAAAGTTTCCTCTGTTAATCAAAAACATCCTGTAACTTTAATCGTATCCGTTTCTTTTCCTCGCTGAAATTTCTGTCCACTTACACCCGCAGTTTTCAAAGTTCCCTTCGTCTCTGGCGTTTCCCCGGATCTTACGTGTTATTTTTACGGTGGCACAGAGAGTGCCCAGCGTATTGACATTTTTGTAATTTCCTCGGTCTTGACGGTCTCAGTAAGTTAATGGAAATGTTAATAGAAAAACAGCCTTACTTTCCACTGGCATGAAGGCACGCCTCCTGCGAACGCGCTCCGATTAAAAGTTACACTCCTTTAATCGTCGGACGGCGGACCATTTTCACAACTGTACTATAGACGATGTTTATAATATGTATAATAATTTATATATATATTATATATAATATAATATTATATATATAATATTATATTATAATATAATAATTTATATATATATATATATATTATATATAATATAATATTATAATATATATAATATTATATTATAATATAATATTATATATATAATATATATATATAATATATATAATAATGTATAATATGTACATAATGTATATAATGTATAATAATGTTCCTTTGTTATAATAGTCCAAAGCATTATTCAGCAATATTTCGAAATTGATTTCTAAAGATATTTCTTGCTGACTTATTAATAGACCGCGGGTCTCCATTCCAAGTAAACATTATCGTCAGTTGCAACAAACGTGAGTCGGACAGAAATTTCTTTCTTCCTTAAATTCTTTTAATATTCTTACTTTTTGTTTTTAATTTCACCTAACCATTTCGATCATAAGCGCATAAAATCCGCAGTCTATTCATCGACCTCTCCGTTGTGTTCCTAGTGAAGCAATAATTTATTTTATTTTCAACTGCCGGAAATTAAGTAATTGAATGAACGATTTGAATAATCTGGGTCGAAATTGACCCGGTCACCGGCTGTCAGGAAATAAGACTATTTTTACCAGTCTTCTCTACATACACAGTGGCTGAAGTCTTGATATTTTAGATTCCAGATAAATGGCACGCTAAATTCAAATCCGGTCGCAAAATTCATCCACTAATTCAGGATTTTGAAAAAAGAAACATCGGGCGTCAATGCATTTCGACTAAAAAAAAAGTCACGATTTCGGTAGCTTCTTCATTTAAATCGATTTTTCTTCAAAAATCCTGACGCGGTGAATGCATTCTGGTAACCGAATTTGAAATCAGCGTGTCAAGATCTACGGATAATTTTCAAATTTTTGTAACATCGATATGATAACCATATTAATCAAAATTATAGTATTTGAATGATTATAGTTTTCACTAAATACATCGTAAAGGATCACCTACTAAGAATTTAAAAAAAAAAGAAACAGAAATATTACGTAAAACACGCTGATACATATATCACAAAAATGAGATGAATCTATCTTTTTTCTCGGTCTATCATTTCATTTTACTCGAAATTAATTTCATTTTACACTCACTATGGGAAAAGTTGAAAGTTAATTATGGAAAAGTGAACATATGTAACTTGAAAAATAATTTTAAATTAAAATTCTAAAAGGAGTCCTTTGATCCCTTTTATAATAATAGTGAATTAATAGTGAATCCCTTTTATAAATTAACATTCTAACAGGCGTATTTTCCATCCTTTCGATAGAAATAGTGCTAAATTAACGTTCAAAGTGGAGTCTTTTGGCTCCTTTCATAAAAATAGTACTAAATTAATTGTAAGAGAAAGTCTTTTGACTGTTTTAGTAAAAAAAAAAACTGTTCATTTACAACTCAAACAGGTGTTTTTGTTGATCCCATTGATAAAAATAGCCTTGAATTAACATTTCAAGAATTGCCTATTGACACCTTTCGGTAAAAAAAAGACGTCTTTTCGACCCTTTCGATAAATTAACACTTTAAGAGATATAAATACAGCTAAATTAACATTTTTACACAGGTGTCTTCTGACTCCTACAGTAAAAATAACGTAACCTAACAACCTTGACATAACCTACCACTGGTTCGAAACGAATGGGATTCATTTTAGCAACAAATGTGGAAAACTTCGATTGTCACAAGCGATTGTATGTGATTTTACAGACGGATGGCCCGTAATCCCCGTCGCTGATGCGGCCGTCGAGTTAGGATCGAACGGAATGGCGGCGGCCAGGCCGAAGCCGCGGAGCAAACAGCTGTGGCTTTTTTTTCTTTCCACACACGGTGTCGTCCCTCGGACCGTTTCCACCCCGACGAAACGGTTAGAGCTTTACCGGGAACATTTTAATACGGGACCAGTTTAATGAATTTCACGGGTGTTGACTCCGCGGTCGCCGACGCGCTAATCGGGCTTAATAGTGTTTGACCGCTTTGAGGTCTTTGCCGTGAAGACGTTGCGCGGTTTCTTCGACGATGGACTGACTCCGCTTTCGCGCGGACATCATTACGAAGGAATTAGACGGTGGATTTTATTGTTGGCGTTGAATACTTTATGAGATAAGGTGAAAGCGCCTATTGTGGAACGCTTCTCGGGAAAGGCGGGAGGCGTCGATTTTATGATAATTTAAAGTGTTATTGTTCGTTAGATTAACGTGCTCAATTAGGAGTTCAAAGAAAACGAGGAACTTTTTCTCAAAATTTTTAGCACCGTTTTTTTCGGCGAATGTTCATTTATTAGAAAACAGTAGGCTTCTTATTACTAATCGTATTCTTTTTATTCAAAAATATGTAAATATGTATAAGTTAAGGCAATTCACCAACAAAAAGACATAACTTCGCGGAGGGTAGCTTCGCTCCGTCCACGGTGCACGAAAAATATTTCTTCGGTTAACAGTCTAACTTTGTCCTCGAACGAAGGATTTTCGAAATACTGATTTCTGACAAAATGGCAGGCGTTCGAAGTGAAGGATTTCGATGTTTGATGAAAAATCGCTAGGCTTAATAAATTAAATAAAAAACAGAACACTCAAACCGAGAGAAATCCTTCTTTCAAGGACAAGTTTCTTGAGTGCAAGAAAGACCGCGAGCTTTTCGCCCGAACCGATGCAGTCGTTTTCAAGATATCCAATCCACCGATGTTGAAAACGCAGATCACTTTGATGAACAGATTCTGCTACGGCGTCCAAATACGACTGAGGCATTCTCGAGACGTGTGCAACTGAGAATAAAAATCTGAATACTAATTCCGCGGTTATTTTTGCTCGGCGAGACGACGAGGATTTCGACCATCAGCGCGAAGAGGATCGTAACGTTTGCCCCCCCCCCCCCCCCCCCCCCCCCCCCCCGCCC